GTTTAGGGAGTAAATTGAGAAAAATTACAAATGTTAAGAGGTAAAGTAAGAAAAAAAATACTTTAAGGGCCAAAGTTAAAAAAATATGAAACTTAAATGAGGGGTAAGTGTAATTTACCTATTTTTATGCCAATGTGGCATTTTTCATTTCAAATTAGACGGAAGTTAGTTTTGGAAGTAAAATATTAAAAAAAAAAAAATTACAAATGTTAGAGGCAAAAAGTGGGAAAAAATATTTTATGAGTCAGAACAGAAAAATTATAAAATTTAAGGGAAACAAAGTGTAACTTATCTTATGATTTATAACCTGTTACTAATGTTATAATTGCATGATTTTCAGTTGGCGATGGTTACACATTGAATTATTACTATTTTATTAACACACGTTTGGAATGTGGGAAAAGATATAAGGTTTTCACTGGTTAATTTACGCTCTTATCTTATCTATAACCTGTTACAAATGTAACTATTACATGATTTTCAGCTGGTGATGTTTACACATTTTTTTAAAGGGAAAGTTTCCAATAAATCCTATATGTTGGAGTTATATTTCATTTAGTTTCATAATTTTTTTTTGGTAATCTATTTAGTTATTTTGAATGCATAATGACTCATTTATTATTATAATCTCCTTAATTGTTGTTGTTTGCTGGAGTGTTATGTTTGAGAAAAATAGACTAAGGAGTTTTTAGGCTGTTATATTGGATTGTTTGGAGTAACTGATTCACATAAAGCTGATTAATCAGTTACTCCAATTAATCACATAAATTTAAGAACTGATTCATTTTTTTAATCACATTTTTTTATGTGAATCAATTAATTGGAGTAACTGATTCACATAAATTTAAGAAGAACATATGTGAATCAGTTACTCCAATTAATCAGCTTTATGGCAGCTTTATGGTTAGTCTATTCAATTAATTGAAGTAACTGATTCACATATGTTCTTCTTAAATTTATTTTTAGATAGTGGTAATGTTTACTAATTGACTTATGGTTTTATTACCACGTGTTTGGTACATTGGAAAATATATAAGTTTTTTTTATTACATATATGTCATTTTACATCCATTTTGTTCATGGATTTGTTTCATTCTTTAATGTTTAAGTACATCACACCCTTACTAATAAAATATATAAGTATTATATTGGATAAAGTATCAAAATTTTTAGAGAAGGCATTAATTTTCTTATTGGTTTCATTTATTTAAATAAAAAACATTTGACCAAAATATTATTGATTTTCTTATTAGTTATTAAAAAATATTATACTTACAACCCATCTCTGAGTATTTGTTCAAAATCAAATAATGTCAGAAAATTTTAAATTTTTTATACGTATTTAAAATATATATATATATATATATATATAAATTATATTAAAAATATAACACATGTATATAAATATATAAAAATGTGTAAGAATATGAAAAATGTGAACATTATTTAATTTTTAACAATTCGTAGCCTAGTTTTTTTAAATACAACCAATAAGAAAATCAATAATAATTTGGTTAAAGTTTTTAGGGAAAATTACAAAAAAATTAAAAAAATAAGGGTTTGACCTTTGTAATAAAATAAATTCTAAATTTTTAATTTTGTCAATTTAAATCCTAAACTTTTAATTTTTTTTTTCAAACTAAACCATTTGTCTATTTTTGTTTAGTAAAAAAAAAAGGTCATTCAACTCAATGAAAATGTGTATTTTAGATATTTTACGTATATTTACATTGAGTTTAATGACAAATACTATTTTTTTGGTCAATTTTAGTTAATGAAAATATGCAAATAGTTTATATTGAAAACAAATAAAAAAATTATGATTTAAATTAAAAAAAATTAAAAATTAAAAATTTATTTTGTTACAATGGTCCAACCATTATTTTATTTTTTTTTAATTTTCCCTCTAATATATGTATTGAATCAGGATGTGCGCAAATGCCATAATTGTTTGGCTCTTTGGGAAGGAGAATTAGATTAATAATATGTGAGACTCACCTAAAGTATGTTTAGTTGAGAATATAAATAAGAGGATTAACTGTCTCCTTGGACTTAATCACCACATATGGTAAGACTAACAAAGCTATGGGAGGGTTGAGATTAGAAATTGAGTAAGGGGATTAGTGAATTTTTAAATAATTTTTAAGCCAAAATTATATTTTTGTAAAACAAAACAAAAAAAAAAATAGGAGATTTTTTTTTAGGGTCCCTGGTATTAAGATTTTATATCATAAAGGACATCAAATATTTTCATAATGTCTACAGTCTCTTAAATCAATCCAGAGAAATTTCAGTCCAAACTAGAGAATTTCTCTGGACCAACCCAGAGAAAATTCAATTCAAACCAGAGAATTTCTCTAGTCCAAACCAGAGAAATTCAATCCAATACACGAAGCAAACGCAATGATTGTTATGCACAAAAGTGCAAGACAATCCTACCAAGAAAACACAACATGTGCCTGGTCGAAGATGTGCATCTACAGAGTCCCATTAAAATAGTCATCTCATTAAAATTGTTCAATAACATTTAACAATAATTCACGCCACCCTACATGTTTATTATAACAACAAAAATGATCTAGTTGTGAACAAAAAAAAAAACTAACCTGCATTTGATTATGTTGTGAACAAAAGTCATAATATTTTTCACTGGGCATCTGAAAGCACTACAATAGCTAAGCGAATTTCATTATCTGAAAATTCTTGATTTGGGCCAGTGAAAATTGCAAATTCCTTGCATTGTGTTGCTCCGATGCCTACAGTGCAAGTTCAGAGTTTTCCAATGTCATCGCCACAACTTTGCATATGGGAATACTCTCATCTTTACTGAGAAGCTTTAACGATGGGTGGACCTCAATATCGTGCATGAATACCTTATCTTCAATATTTAGATTGCTTACGTCCATCTCAATTTTGAAGGGGATGTGTTCAACTGGGTATAGATATTTTAAAGTTGTCCTTATCCTATTTAAAGTACCTCATTTCTTGAGACTAAGACAAACATCTTCTCCTTTGAAAACAACCAACACATCAATCTTCAACTCCGATCCTTCATCAGCCCAAACAAACAGCAAATTCAAAATCTTCCCACACTCTCCCCTTTCCTATGAATCTTGATGGGGAGAACAGTACTAGATTCGAGAAGAGTGAAGGAACTAGAACCAACGTGGATCTGGAGAGGGAAAGTAGTGGAGTAGAAGAAGGGGAGTTGAACAGAGTTAAGGATGGCTTGAATCTGCTTCCTCTTGGTGGTAACGAGGTGTTTTCTGGAGGCCGACCTGGTGGTGGTGGTGGTGGTGGTGGTGTGGCCGCCTTTGCCTTGGGCTAACACAATGGTGGGGATTCGGCCTTAGAGTCTGTCTATAGCGGAGACTTTGCGGCCAATGTACTCTCTAGGACTGGCTTGGATCGTGTGGTATGATAACCATCTTCACTACCTCATCCTCTTTCACAACTCCTTCTTTACAGATTAATTTGATTTTTCTCTGTGATATATGGGTGTAGGATTGAGAGACTTTAGACATCATAAAATAATATTATGGATCTTTTCATTATTAAAAATGGGAGAGGGATTTTACACTAAATTTTTCAAAAAAATAATTATAATATTAAAAAATTACTAAAAATTAAAAAAAATTATTAATTTTATATATTAATACTATCTATAGTATTACTAATCCGGTGGTATATAAACAAACACTTTTTTTTCCTATATCTCCAACCTAATATCACCACACTAATAATTTTCCCACTCAATCTCACCAAATCCTTAATTCCCTCCATTTTATGGAGCCAAACAAATGTGATCAAATTATTTATATTGTGTAAATAGAAACTCCCAATAACTAACCGACCTAGTACACAATCTATCTTAAATATGTATCTGAAGACTACATATTTACATTAACTTATATATCTCTTTGTTTCGACGACATTTTTATTTAATGAAGCAGCATACGCGGTCACTCTCACTCATATATTTATAGGACAAGTAATACAAATAAATAAATAAAAAAAATACAATACAAGCACTCTTTTACCTCACATGTTACATTGCATTATTAATAATACATACACGGCAAACATTTCACTCTTTATTTTCTCTGTCTAAACCAATACATTCACACAATTAATATCAACCCAATTCATCCTATCATCATATGCGTTTGGCTGAAATTTAATTTAATAGACAAACTAATTTAAAAAAATTTATTTACCTCAAAAGAGAGAGAGAGAGAGAGAGAAATCATATGAAAATATTAATATTTAATCATATGAAAAATAGTTTTAACATTATTCTTTCAGTTTTTTATATTTTTAATCTCAAAAAAAAATAAAATAAATAAAATTATGACTTTAGTAGAGTTCTTTTGAGGAGTGTGTGTTGCTTTGGTTTGCATGGAGGAGGTGATGGAGAGAAATAATTTTTTATTTCTAAATGAGAAAATGGTGATACATAAAGGATAAAATGTAATTTACTTTTTCTTAAAAGAGTAATAATCTCATATTCAGTAGTAATGAAATCGGATAAACCCTTTCTGCATATGTATCATTTTCATTTTTTATTTTTTGAGTTAATTACACTTATCACATTTACACTTTCATCGTAATCTTATTTTTGGTCTATTTATTTTCAATTGTCATTGATAGTCAACCTTTTATATTTTAAATCAAGTTACAATGTTATCATTCTATCTATCTATGGTCAATGAAGTTGACAAAAATTAAAATTTTAATAAAAGTGTAAGGAATAAAGTAATTTAGATAAAAATGTAAAAATGTTAATCAGAAAAAAAAAAAATGCCACTTTTAACAAATATGACAGGTTCCATCAATCATATTAACTGTAAATGAATAAAAGTATGATATTATAACTTGACTTAAAGTGTAAGGCTGACATAATCAAAAGTGAAAAGGCCAAAATGACATTACAATAAGTGTACTTAACCCATTTCCTTTCCTTTAAATAGAGGTTGTTACACAGTCAAACAATACAACAGCAGCATCAGCAGCAGCTTTGTTAGAAACTCATTGCAATGGCTCTTGCTCTTCTTAAACTTGTAGTTCCAACCTCTTCTCTTTACACTTCAACTAGGTTACCATCTCAAAGCTGTGCATCATCACAATCTGCTGCTTCCATTAATCATGACCGAGCTCTGCGCACCGTTCGATGCATCAGTTTGAGCCAAACTTGTGATCAGACGATTGTTAGGCGAACTGCCAACTATAAACCTCCCATTTGGGACTATGACTCTCTGCAGTCACTAAATAGTAAATATGTGGTATATAAATGATTTTTATTAATTTTATTTACTTTCTAAATTGTGTTTCATTAGAAGCAATGTTTTGCTTGCTAACATTAGTTAATACTTTTTTTTTAGGGAGATATATATGTAAAGGGTGCTGAAAAGTTGAAGGAAGAAGTGAAGAGAATGCTTGCAGAAGTGGTGGATCCATTGGGTGGACTTGAGATGATTGATGACTTGCAAAGGCTTGGTGTGTTTTACCACTTTGAGGATGAAATAAAGAGAGGGTTGGACAATATTAGAAATGATGATAAGTGGAACAATGAGGATTTACATTCTACAGCTCTTCAATTTAGGCTTTTGAGACAACATGGTTATAATATACCCCAAGGTACTTCCATGATTTCCTCAAATTTATTTTTTATTAGGGTAAATTATAAACACAAATTTTAAAATTTATTTAAAATATGAATTGTCCCTTATAGTTTTAGAAATTACATCTTGTCTTCTAATGTTTATAATTTCATAACAAATAGTCATTTTTATTAATAAATTATTAAGTTAATTAATAATTTTTAATGATGTTGAAAATTTATTTCAATTAATAATCCAAATAATTTTATTATTTTATAGGAGAATAGTTAGAAATTTTAGTTTTTTTAATTAATTCTGTTAAATAATTTTTTTTGATAATGAGATATTTATAATTTTTTAAACTATAAAAAACAATTCGTATTTTAAGCGAATCTCAAAAAGTATATGTATAATTTACCTTTTTATTATTTATTATTATTATTATTTGGTTTTTGTGTTATGATGGTTTTACGTATAGACCAATGCTTGTTGATTTTTTTTCACATACGTATTGGCTTATTCGTGATAAATCACTTTATATTTAATGCACATATTATAATATATAAGAGTTTTAGAGATTAAATTTTTTTTACTGTTAAATTAAAAATTTTGTTACGAAAGATATTTAAGGACTATTTTCTATTGTCATGAGGATAGTCATTAAAAAGTCATCTCAAAAAGTCAAAAATAAGATTTTTAGCGACAAAATTTTGAAAATATCACTAATAAATATACTTTTATGGACAAAATAATTTGGTCTCAAAAAGTTTTTTTTTTTTTTTTAGCAAAAAAATAGTCCCAAAAAGATACTAATTTATCACTAATGTTCAATTTTCATTACTAAAAATATAATAATGACATTTGTCGTAACAAAAAATATTTGATACCTAAAAAATAATTTTATTACGAAATTTTGATTGCTAAAACCTTAATTTTCTATAGTCACGTTAACTCACAACCGATATACCCTGTTTGGCAGTGTTGGGTGGTGGGTTTTTCCAATAGGCGGTAATAAATTGTTGTGAAATAAACCACATACACAAATAATAAGAAGAATCAATCATGAATAAGAAATGTTTTTTTTTTTTTTTTTTTTTTTTTTTTTTTTTTTTTTTTTTTTTTTTTTTTACTTTGTCTCTTAATATTTTAGGTTTTTCTCAGTTTACTTTTACAGTTAATTTATGTTCAAAACTAGACAGAAAATGGCACGTCAACTGCCACATAATATAAAAAATATATTATTATCTATTAGGGTTTGAGTTTGGGTTTGGATTAGATGAGTGGATTATATATTGTTACCCAAAAGGCAACCCAAGAAATGGAGTAAATTGAGTTTCTAAATAAATTGTTAAATTAAAAATATTAACCCAATATATAAATAAATGAATTTGTGCAACAATATATAAAAGTAAAATGAGCAAAGGAATAAGAAAGCAAACAAATAATTTCTAGTGATTCGGTTCAAATAGAGCATACATCCACTTCTCAAGATTTTCCTTCAGATTTCTCCACTATTAATCAAATAGCATTACACCAATTAATTTTAAATCTGGTACTAGTCACATCTAACCAAGTGATCATCCCTGACTACTCCGACGACTAGTTTAGAATCATGTACATAATCACACTTAACCTAAGTGATTTTATTATAAAAAATCACTCATAAAAATATCTCTCTTTACAAGAATAGAGGAAGGACTAGAAAATTAGAGCTGAGCAAGGAATCTGTGAAATCCGTAATCCGATCTAGTCCAGTCTGATAAGGAATCCCCTGATGATGGTGATGCACCAGAGCAGAGAGCTACACGTGTTCATTCACCAGAGCAGAGAGCTAAACGTGTTCATTCATCAAGTTGTAGTTAGTTAGAGTTAGTTAGTTAGAGTTAAGCTTGTAAACTCACTTCAGTTAGTTACACCATGGTATGGTTAACAGTTGTAACAGACTCTATTAAAGAGATTCATTGTATTCTTTAATGGTAAGTTGAGATGTATTGAAACTTTCTTTATGGTATCAGAGCTCTGTGCTCCAACGAGCTTACAGATCCTTCAATGGCTTCTACGCCATCTTCTTCCTTTCAACTTCCTTCAAATCTATCTTTTCTAATCGGGAATCTTAATTCTTTTGTTACAGTCAAATTAGATAGCAATAACTTCATCGTTTGGAAGAATCAGTGGCACAACATCTTACGAGCTACTAACTTGCTTTCATACATCGATGGATCAATTGCTTCACCATCAGATGTTATCAAAGATGTTGCTGGTATAGATGTTCTTAATCCAGATCTTCATCAATGGCATATTATAGATGCACATCTGTTAAGCTGTGTTACTGCAACTCTGTCTTCTTCAATCTTTACTTCTGTGTGTCAATTCAAGACCAGTCATGAAGTGTGGAGTACACTTGAGAAGAGATTTACTTCTCTCTCGCGATCTCATATTCATCAGCTTAAAAACAAGCTTCATAGTGTTGTCAAAGCTTCAAATTCAATGGAAGATTACTTGTCACAGATCAAAGTGATTGCTGATCAGTTGTCTCTTGCTGGTTCAGCAATAGATGATGAAGATCTTGTTCTCTTGACACTTAATGGCCTTCTGTCGTAATATAATGCTTTTAAGACGACAATTCGTGCTAGATCTGAATCAGTGTCCATGGAAGTTCTGTCATCACTCTTGTGTTCAGAGGCCATTCATGTTGAAAGTGCAGCCAAAGTTTCGGCTGATCTTCATGTTGCCTATGCTGCTCCATCTGGTTCCCAGTCTCATATGAAGTTTTCTTCTCATAATTCCTCTGGATCTCGGGGTTATAATCGAGGATATAATCGAGGCTCTTATAGAGGTCGGTCTTCTTCTCAAAAAAGCACCAGAGGAGGTCGTTTTGGATCTGGTACTGTGACTTGCCAGATTTGTGGAAAGTTCAATCACACTGCTCTCAATTGTTGGTATCGCATGGATTCATCTTATCAATCTGCTAATTCTAAGCCTTTAATTGGTTCACCTGCTTCTTCTAAGTTTCAGAACAAGGCATATGTTGCATCTGCTGCAAATTCCTCTGATAATCGGTTTCTAGATTCAGCTGCTACCAGTCATGTTACTAATGATCTTCAGAATCTCAATCTTTATCAACCTTATTCAGGCAATGAGCAAGTGCTAGTTGGTGATGGAAATTCTTTTCCTATTCATCATAAGGGTAAAGGAATTCTCCCTACACCTTCTCATTCTTTTACTCTTAATAATCTTCTTCATGTTCCTCAAATCTCCTCGAATTTAGTTTCTGTTCATCAGCTTATTTCTGATAACAATTGCACTGTGACATTTGATGCTGATACTTTTGTGATTCAGGACAAGACTAGTAAAGCTGTCTTGTACAAAGGATCTCACTCTGATGGCATGTATCAATTTCCTGGTTTACATCCTCTCATCTCACCTCATCAAGCTTGTGTTACAGCTCTTGGTTCTCCTGAGGATTGGCATTCTCGACTAGGCCATCCGTCCTTACATAAGCTTCAAATACTTTGTAATAAATTTCATTTGTCTAAATCTGTTAATAAGTCCTCTTCATTGTGTAAGCATTGCTCTGTTGCTAAGAGTCATAGACTTCCCTTCAGTCTTTCTACTACATCTGTAAATCAACCTCTTGCACTTATTCACAGTGATATATGGGGACCTTTCACTTCTGAATCATCTTCTACTAGTTACAAATATTATGTGTTGTTTGTTGATGATTTTAGTAGGTTCACTTGGTTGTTTCCTTTAAACTATAAAAGTGAAATGTTTTCCAAGTTTATTGCTTTCAAACAGTTTGTGGAAAACCAATTTGATGTACATCTCAAAATTTTACGAACTGATAATGGTTCTAAATTTCTTAGCAATGAGTTTCAGAAAATTTTTAAAGGCTCATGGTATAGATCATCAACTAAGTTGTCCATATACTCCACCTCAAAATGGTGTTGTCGAGCGCAAACACAGACATATCATAGAGACATCTATAGCTCTGTTGCAACACTCTCATGTGCCTTTATCATATTGGTTTGATGCAGTTGCTACTGCTGTCTTTCTGATCAATAGGTTGCCCAGTTCTAAGCTTCAAGATCTTACTCCTTTTGAGAAACTGTTTCATCACTCTCCTGACTTCTCTTTCCTTCGCACCTTTGGTTGCCTTTGTTTTCCTTGGCTCAAGCCTTATTCACCTCATAAATTTCATCCCAAGTCTATTCCTTGTGTCTTCTTAGGTTATATTTGTCACGACCCCATTCCGCCCCTAGTAGAATGGTGCCATGATGGCCAGTAATCCGAGATTTACCAAAGGCCAACTTTCTAAATTCACACAAAATCAGAGTATTACATATGGGGCTAACATGTGCGGAAGCAATACATGCAAATTCAATTAGTCCATAAGAGCTATGCATAAGTTAAATGGAATGGCATACATTCGTACATAGCTTTAATAGAACAAAATGAAGTATAAAAATACATCTTGACCAAAAGGCTTCTGAGCTATCAAATACAAAATACAATAAAATACAACTAAGAAGCATAATTTTCAAGATGCGGCAAAAGTGCATAATCCAAAACAAGTAGCAAGTACATCTAGGCGTCACCGCCGTCCTGCTCGTCACCTACATATATATAGAGAGGGGTGAGCTTGGATACTCAGTGAATGGTATAAATAATAAAGGGGTTTGCATGAATGATATCCGAAATCTTTATCAAATCAAGGCACATCACAACTTGTACAAAATCCAAGGGCAAATCAAGTTTATCTAACAATCTTTCAAGTCTCAATAATTTAAGTCTTTCAAGGCTTTCAAGTTCCAAGGGGTGACATTAACAAAGGTTGTGCTACAAATGCTTATAGTCCCCTAGCACGTACGGACTTTTCAAGATTGTGCTACAAATGCTTATAGTCCCCTAGCACGTACAGACCTTTCCCGATTGTCATTCAAAACAAGGCTAATACTTGATATACAAAATAGGGATCATCATTCATGCTTCACAAAATACTTTTCCAAAACAAGCAAGGAAAAACTTTAACAAAACTTTATAACATAACTTTATTAAAAATACCACTCACATAGTTCTTCAGACGTCGGGGTCAAGTCAAGTCCAAGTCCTACAAACACATGGCAAAGTCTGTTGAATGCACTTTCAAACAAGTTCACATGCATACAGATGATCTCGGCATCCTTCAAAACCAAGCTAAGTCAAAACGAAACACTGTTTCTCATCTTGGGAAAAACATGCTGGGCGACTACCAGGTCTAGGCCGAGGTCCCACACCTCCTTGCCGAGGTGTGGCCTCGATGGCCACATTCAAGGAAATGAAGTCGGGAAAAATTTGGGTTTTCCCTCTCTTGAAGACATGTGAACATGAAGAATATGAACATGAGGAAGATGAATGCAAGATCATAATTTGCTATTACAAAATTTGAGATTTCATGCCATGAATTCAAACATGGACCTGGGTACCCATATTCAAGGATCTTGCGAGAACAAACACAAAACATGAATCTTAAGGCAAACTTTCGGATCAAACAAGACTTTTTCTCAAAAACACATGAACATCTTCTCTTTCTAAAACAAACTTTAAACCAATGCAAAACATGAAAACAGTTCGATCGTGGCAATGCAGCTAGATAAACATAAAGGAACAACAAAAGTAAATTAAGGATCTAACCTCAATACGCGATCTAACGGTTTGATCTCTAGGAATCAAGCTCAAAAGCCCACTCTCTCACTCTAAAACCTTCTTCTTCTTCTTCTAGAGCTTCTCTCCTCACACAAAGACATATAGCAAATGATACATTTCAAGGTCTGCTGGCTGACTTAACACTCAGTGGGACTCGTGGCACTACCTGGTTGGTTCTCCTAAAAAGGTGGCTGAGTGAAAAGACAAGACTATAACAAAGTGTGTCAACAAGCAAGATGGCATGGGCACTTGGGTAATGATCTCTGGCTAAGAACAAGACATCGGCAAGTAGGGGAACATGATTCTTGGCTAGGAAGGACAACACTTGACTAAGCTGTGCCACACCTTGGCCTAGATGTGCCACACCTCGATCTAGGTCATACCACTCCAGGACAAGATCACTTAGGTGCAAAGGTAACATCTCGGCCTAGATAATACACATCTTGGCCTTGGTGATGAACACCTTGGCCCAGATAATGACATCTCGGCCAGTATGTCAGGGCGGAGGTGGAGGTCAAACAAAGTGGTTCCAAGGAAGTTCTAGACTAAAGATGACCTCGGCTAAACTCACACCAAGCAGGGTACAAAACATGCAAGAAACTCTTAAGCAAAGCAAATCAAGGTTTGCAAAAACAACATATCAAGACAAGATCATATAATATATGCAAGCATGACTAGAGTAGAGTGAAGGTTGTTACATCCTACCCTCCTTAAAGAAGTTTGGTCCCCAAACTTAAATTACCGTGCTCTACAAATAACCCCGGATGACGGATTTTCATTTCTTCTTCCATTTCCCACGTAGCATCCTTGCCGTAATGCTCTTTCCATTCAATTTTCACTATTGGTATAGATTTGTTCCTCAACTGTTTCACTTGTCTATCAATAATCTCCTCGTAGCCTAAATCGTCACTAACCGCAATCCCGGTATAATCAATGACATGCAGTGGATCCTGAATATATTTCCTCAACATCGAAATATGGAACACATTGTGAACTTGACTTAGTTCTGGTGGCAAAGCTAGTCTATAGGCAGCTGGGTTAACTTTCTCAAGAACTTCAAAAGGCCCGACGTAACGGGGTGCCAATTTACCCTTATTCCCAAACCTTGAAACTCCTTTCTTCGGCGAGATCTTCAGGAATACATGATCCCCAACTTCAAACTCTAACTCTTTTTTTCTCTGGTCGGCGTAACTCTTTTGTCGACTCTGAGCGGTTCTAATTCTCTGTTGGATAAGCTTGATCTTTTCGGTTGTCCTTTGAACTAGATCAGGGCCGACCAAAGCTTTATCTCCTACCTCGGTCCAGCATATTGGCGATCTGCACTTTCTTCCATACAGTGCTTTATACGGCGCCATGCCAATGCTAGCTTGATAACTGTTGTTGTAAGCGAATTCTACTAATGGCAAATGCTCTTCCCAGCTTCCCTTGAAATCCAATACACATAGTCTAAGCATATCTTCAAGTGTTTGAATTGTTCTCTCTGTTTGGCCATCGGTCTGGGGATGAAAAGCTATACTAAACCTCAATTCGGTCCCCAAAGCCCTTTGTAAACTCTGCCAAAATCTAGAAACAAACTTTGAATCCAGAATCTGACAAAAATCTGGTTAGATGATGAGAGAGAAGCAAAAATTAGGGAAGACAGAGAAGACATGTGGCCGTGAGATAAAGGCAAAATTGGGCACAACCAGGGTCTGAAACAAACATAACTATAACAGCTTTGACACAGTCCAACCATGTCTAACAATGTAAATTGTTTAAGATCACTAGTTCATTTCTGACCTAAAAGAGAAAAGTCCAAGAATTAAATGGAAAATTGATTCAATTTTAGTTTAAAAAAATTCAAGAGAAATTTGAGGCATAATAATGATGTTTTGTTCTTGTAAGGATGACTATGACTTCCAAATTGAGTCAATTCTTCTAGTTAAAA